ATTGTGTATTAAATTAAAGGCTATCAATTTTGGTTAAACCCGTTTAAAGTGATCTAATAAGGTTTCAGTATTTTAAACTTTGAAGAGTCTAATTAAAGTATGGGCTTATATGTGTGGAGACAGGGTCTGTTTCTAATTTCATAATGGGTCGAATTAGGTCAATGGGGCATTAGTATGCGCGCGCGCACACGCACACACACACACACACATATATACGGTTATGGTCCCTGGATCACATGTAAATTGTTCATTCTGCTCTAACTTCCATCATTAAAGAGAAATAAAGAACTACGTGTTGATTTGAAAGACTAAAATCGCAGGATTCATCCATTACGATAACCATGTCTGATTCAGGTACGCTTTCCTTCGGTTTACTTATTCTTGATGATCTAACATGAACAATCGTTATGACAGTAAAGTATTTTTCTCACAAGTGGTATCAGAGCCTATTCATGTTGAATCATCGAGAATCGAAATTTTAATTTCGTTCTTGTGATAATTTTATTCTTTTTGAATTTAGCAATCCGAATTTATTTTTTGTTAAATTTGAAAATTATTCAGTCGTTATTTCGGAACTTCAGTTTTCAGTTTTTTTTTAAAAAATATTTAGGCCCCCGCGCGACGTTGTAGCGTAGCAGCTCTGTTTGTGGCGTGCAGCCGAGTGCAGTTGCCACTGCAGATTGCAGCGCTGACTGTTTCTTCAGGCGGGCAATGCTCGCCGCCGCAGTTGGCAGCAGCAAGTACTGCTTTGATTTTAGGAGGGTGGTGTCGGCGAGCGCCGCCCCCGAGTCATAAAAAAAAGTTTTTTTTTTTTAAGATTAGGGTTTGGGTAAATTTTGGGGGCTGGGGTTTGGGCTGGAAATTAGATGAGTTCATGCCCTTGTTTGCAATTTCAAATCGGGTTAAGTTTTTAATATTTCAATCACTTAAGTTTAAAACTTTGGTGATTTAGCCCCATAAGGTTATAATTCATCATATTGGGCCTTTTAAAGTTCCGAGTTTAATAATTCAATCCCTAAAGTTTGAAAATTCCCTTTAAGTTCTGAATTTCGTAATTAAGCCCCTAAAAGTTCATAATTGGTTTAAATTGGCCCCCAAAGTTCTAAATACTTTTTTTTTACTCCTAGAGTTTCGAATAATTAATTACCGACTCCTAAAGTTATGGATAATTAAGTGTTGATCTCTAAAGTTCTGAATTATTAATTCTTAGGCCCCTAAAGTTTCAAAATAACTCAAATGTGCAAATTTAGTGATTTTCTTTTCAAATTTTGGCATAAAGGATTCTTTTGAGAGACATAATATTCAAAAGTGAATTAATTGAATCAATATGTTGTCAGAGCAACCTCGTTTGTCGAAATTAATAATTTAGAATATTAAAAGGTGTTTGTGTATGTGTTATTCATGCGAATATTTGATCGGCCTAAAGGAAAGCCAATATTTGGCCGAATTGCACATACACCTGTGATGATAAACATGTGGCGATTATTTGGTTTAATGTGTGATCAATAAATCGGTCCAAAAAAAGGTTTATTGATTGACATGTTCATTTATTGTCAATGTTTGATCACTACAACAAGAGTACCACTTACAAGTCAATAATTATGTCCAAAGACTAAATATTGATGTTGTGATAGGTATCTTGTGATGGCCCTACCATTATTTGAAATTATTATTTGCATATTAAGGACTATGAGCTCTTCAAATTAATCGTTCTCTAATTCAATTTCAAGTTCTGCTTCCAATATATCTGCTAGCATCAATTCAATTCCAATGTTT